TAAAGGACATTTGGGCATATAAGGGTCATTTGAAAACCAAAAAGACGAATCAACAGTTTTCGCTTCAATCGGGTTGAGAAGACAAATTCGCCAATGATTTCACGAATGTCACAGAACAAAGCCTAATGTCTCGGACAGGTCGGATAAGCACCGGTTTCTGATCGCTACAAATTTGCTGTGGCCGCGTCGTTCTAGACCATCGGCCCCCGATGCCAGCCAAAAACAGTTCCTCATCTCTTTTGAGTGTCTTTCTCTCTGTGTCACACGTCCCGGCCAACCCTCATTTTCGCAAGCATAGTGTGCTCTGCTAAACCTGCACAGAATTTCGGCTGTCCTGCACATATTGAAAGAACTCTCCGTTTCCTGGGCTGTCTTGTGCGACACAAAACACTAACCCTACAGTGCGGCGCAAAAGCCTGCGCCACCGTACGTTGTCTCAGTACACGCAACATGCCTACTTCTGGTCCAAACCTTTTCGCTCTTTCGACATATGTCCTTCTGGCACGCACTCTACATGAATTCGGTAAATTATTTATGAGGGCTCACGGGCTCAAACTAAAGCAGGAGTTCAAACACAAAGCCTTAAGCCCAAAGGCTTCAAATCCTCATTGCGAAACCCACCACCAATACCAGCTAGCCTATGTACTAAATACCCAGTATAGTGTTTCGTAGTCGTAGCTACCAACTACGTAGAAAGCAAAAAGGCGATTTCAACAGTGGCGTCAGCGTTCGTGGTTTCCCCCCGCCGGCTTTTACATATCGCCTATGTAACAGTTTGAATCCAAGCCCAGGACCGGGGTGTCATCATATTCTTGAAGTTTCGTGATATTCCTAGTGCCCGGGGTCTTGACTGCTTTGTGGTTTTTTTGGTTCTTTTTAGTCAGTATATTCTTATAGTTTACATAGGTCAGAGGAAGGACGGAAGGAATGGTAAATCCTAAACTCATGAAACCCCAAACTACGACTTCAGGGTGTAGGACTGTATAAGGTTTACGATTTTAGGGTTTAGGGTTCAGGGTGTCGGGTTTTAGGATGTATTTCGGGTTTAAGACTTCAAGGTTTAAGGGAAAACGATTCGTATGGCAGCTTCAAAACCAAAAAATCCCCACCGGCTGCTCTGGTATGTACACAGGACCCTATAACAGCTTAGACATATGTGTTTAAACTACCAAAAAGATGCCCGAAATCCTGAACTCAACTAAGAGTTTCCCAATCCTAAACCCGTTACGCCCGCTAAACCGGGACTCCCTCAAAGCCCTCTAAACCCTCAACCAAACCCCCTAGACCCCTAAACCCCAAACTTCTAAACACTCTACGCCCTACGCTTTGTTTACTGCAGGCCGTTTTCGACTGTCGAATGGGTCAGAGGAAAGAACCGTGATTTCGTGATATTTCGGAGTTCTCGTGATTTGTCCTAGGCGGCTTCTCTACTTGTTCGCAAAACACCACAAACTCGACCAAGATATCACGAAAAATCTCGGCCCCGGCCCCTGTATGGCCCAAAGAACACTTTAGGTTTGTGATGCAGAAAAACCCACGCATCATCACGCATTATACCGCTCATTTGGTTGGATTATAACTAACATTGCACGCTTTCTCACGCTCGCCGTTTTCCAAGGATTGCACAGCCCAGTTTCGGCTGAAACCAGGATTTCGTGCGAATTTGGTCTCGGCGCCGGGGCCGGGATTTCACGAGATTTCTCGTGATATCTCGGTCGTGTTGGTGGTGTTATATTAACAAATAGAGAAGCCGCCCAGCAAAAATCACGAAAAACCTCGCAAAATCACGAAATCACGGTTCTTTCCTCTGACTCCTTAAACTATCGAAAATGGCCCGCAGTAAGCAAATCTTGGGGCGTAGGGTGTTCAAAAGCTTTGGGATTATGGGGGGTCTGGGGGGTTTGGTTGAGGGTCATCTTTTTGGTAGTTGAAAACACAAAGGTCTGAGCTGTTATAGGGTCCTGTGTACATACCAGAGCAGCCGGTGGGGATTTTTTTGGTTTTGAAGCTGCCATACGAATCGTTTTCCCTTAAACCTTGACGTCCTAAACCCGAAATACATCCTAAAACCCGAAACCCTGAACCCTAAACCCTAAAATCCTAAACCTTATAAAGGCCTACACCCTGAAGTCGTAGTTTGGGGTTTCATGGTTTAGGGTTCGGGAGCTTCAGGGTGACGGGACACGAAGCTGGATTTTGGGTTCAGGGTTTACTATCAAAAATCACAGTCCTTCCTCTGACCGATGTAAACTAAATACTGTCTAAGTAACACCCGAGAAACCACACAGTAATCAGGACCCCGAACTCGAGGGGTATCACGAAATCGCGGTCCTGGGTCTGGGTTTCTCTGTTTGCACAGCTATTTCTAGCCGCTTGAAAACCCACGAAACCCTTTTAAGAATAGCATGAAATCCCGGTATTGGGCTCGGATGCTTAGGCAATATGTAGAAGCCGGCAGGGGGAATCACGAAACCGCCCTTGGAACACTGACCCCACTCTTGAAATCGCCGTTGTGTTTTCTATGTAGCACCATGTAGTAGGTAGCTGCTACGACTACGACACACTATATTGGGTATAAAGTACGTAGGTTATCTGGCACTAGTGGATTCGCCCTACATAAAGATTTAAAGCCTTTGGGTTTAAGGCTTAGTGTTTGCTCTTGCATATAAGTTTAAAACCGTAAACCTTCATTATTTACGAATTCATGTAAGGCTTCTAAGGTGCGTGCCACCAATGAAGGAGATATTTCGATAGAAAGAATATGCCAATATGCATTTCGACCAAAAGTACGCGTGTAGTGTGTAGTTATACAGTATTTGCAAGGTGGATGATGTTTTTGAAAGCACTTTAAAGTTAAGATTGTTTGTCGCATTTTACAGCACATGAAACAGAGAGTTCTGTCAATACGTGCAGGACAGGCGTGTCACACAATCGATTGCTACTTCCTTTCCGTGCCCGTATATAACTGATTTTTGAGCAAACTTTGGGAATTCCGTGCAACATACAAGATTTTGCTTGTGCGCGGTGGACTGGCGAGATCTGTCAAACTGAAACTGTTCGTTCCGAATCATCCGGAATCACCCGCGGGCATCGGTTTTGGCAAAATTTGTAGGTCATTTGAAACGCACCTTACAACGCACGCACGACTTTATAAAGGACAAGAGGTCTTCCAGGAACAACAACAACAACAACATAACATAACAAAACGACATGGTCACGCCGCGCCCCTGCGCTCGCCCTGCGCGCGCCCTGCGCGCGCCCTTGCGCGCGCCCCTGCTCGCGCCCCTGCGCGCTGCGCGCGCCTTGCCGCCGCCCTGCGCGCGCGCGCCCCTGCGCGCGCGCGCGCGCCCTGCGCGGTTTTCATGCCTCGTCACAGCGGCACACACTCGTACGCGCGCGCCCTGCGCGCACCCCTGCGCGCGCCCTGCGCGCGCCCCTGCGCGCGCCCCTGTGCGCACTGGTTTGCATGCCTCGTCACAGCGGCACACACTCGTACGCGCGCCTCTGCGCGCGCCCTGCGCGCGCCCCTGCGCGCACCCCTGCGCGCAGGGGCGCGCGCGCCTTCGTGCTCCCTGTGCACATCGTGTGTCCTTATTCAGTCCTTTGAGTACTGCTGCCGCTGTACAGAGTGGCTTCCCCATCGGCATAATACTTCTTGCAGCCGGTCTGAAGTGTAAGGCTGTGGCTCCTTCCTCAAGTTGCACTTCAGTCGATGGCCGCGAGCTCGAGTCTTCGAAGCCTGGGCATACTGTAAAGCAGCGAGACAATTGGAGTCGAGTTCTCTCGGCCTGCTCTGCCGGCACACTAACTCTCTGGATGTTGTGACATGGCATAAGTACAAGCGCTGAGGCAATGACTCTTGTCCTTTGGGTTCAGGACACTAATACCTGTCGATGCCTGAATGTTGACTCAGACCGGAAGCCTACTAGACCACTCAACAGCGGCAGCTGCAATGTAGGCCACTTATCAGCGGCTAGAGCCCACTCGCACGCCATCTAACTAGCAGAGGCATCAGAGGCCACTTTATGCAGCGGCACTGGCAAGGCTAAGGGCCACTTGACAGCGGCTACTTCAGTGCAATCATGCAGTGCCACTTTGGCAGCAGCAAACACCAAGACTGTGCTGTGTGCATGGTTGCCATGCCTACATGCAAACATACACACTGTTTGTACATACGTATGCATAAAACCACCAAGAACATACTTACATACCTACATACATAATCACGTACACACATACATACATGCATATACAAACATTTACACATATACATACATATACATATACATACACATATACATGTACATAAATTTACCTGTCAGAACAAAAAATCTGCAAAAACAATCATGGAGGCCATCCAAGTAGCACCAAAACATCTCACACTGTCGGGGGCCACAGTTCTTTTAGTTTGCTTTCGGCATGCAGCTTCTGGCTGCGAAGCCTTCTGCTAGGTGCAGCGTCTATGTGCTTCGCAGCGAACAACACATAAGGCTAAGGGTATGACTGCTTAATTTACAGAAGACATACGACAGTCAGAGCTCACGCAGGCCACTCACACCGGCAAACATGCGGGGCCACTATGCAGCGGCAGACTCAAGGCCACTTTGACAGCGGCAGACCAATGTGTGCGATTTCCGCAGAGCACAACAAGGCCACTGCATCAGCGGCAAAGAAAACCGGGCCACTATGCAGCGGCAAGCCCTAAGCCTAGTCACAACACGTTGGCATGCCGTTGCCTCATCGCCGTGTCCCCGGAGAAGTCGCAAAGAGTCTGACGTCCATCTCTGAGGGAGAGGGTTTGTTCGGAAGTGGGTTTTTTCCTCAGGGGAAAGTTATGTTAAGGATGGGAAGTTATTGTGCTCAGGGGGGGGTGTTAAGGAGCGGGAGTATTTTTATTTTTTCATGCTTATTTTTTCCTTTCCCAGCACTGTCCGTCGAATTCCAGCAGCAAAAATAACAAAGACCCAAATAGAATCAAAAAGACCCAAATACAACGAAAACTACTTATCAGCTGGGTTGCTGTGCGACGGCACACGGTCGTAGTAAAAGAAGGCCTGTAAGTCAAACTCACGCTTGGCTGCCAGGAAAGCCATCGCACTGCCTACTGGGTTTTCTGACCAGCACTTCACGAACGCGCCGTGCACACCTGAGTTGTCCGTGTACACTACAACGTTCCTCTGAGACAGATGACATTTAAAAAGCTCAAGAGCCACTACCACTGCAAGAGCTTCTAGCTCAAAGATCACTGTCTCTCTGTCGCGCCCGAAGCAACTCAGCAGAACCTTAATCAAGTCACTAGGGACGGTCGCCCCAAACCAACTTAAGATTCTCCCGTCGGCATCGTAGCAGACGCCTCCAAGCCCACTGTGCCCGGACGGCTCGAAGGAAGCGTCTACAAAAACAAGGCGGTTATCACCTAAGTCCCTAGAAACGACTCTGGAGCAACCACTCTGCAAAAGCTCTACAAGGTGAGTGGCACCCCACCTGAAGCGCTCGGACACACAGAAGCTCTTCGAAGGCTTGTCCGACAAACAGTGAAGCGCCTGCCGCGCCAGTCTGCCGAACAACTGGCCACTTGCGAACTGGGCTCGCCCTCGAATCTTTTCAAGCGTCGTCGCGTCAATGCTGCCCCGAGCGAGCACCTCTTCAAGAGAAGCAATGATTTCGTTTCGGCGTTTCAGGGTATTCTTCAACAAGGCGTAACCCCGAATGGCGTTTCCCACATCAAGCTCAATCCCTAACACCTTACAGCAAGTGGAATAGGGGAGAAGCTTATCGGTGGAAACCTTCCACCCAAGGAGCCTAAAATACACACTGATTACCAGCTCGACGTGCTTTGCTTCGCTGCTGCGGGCGATGCTAAGGTAGTCGTCGAAATAGACGGACCAAACTAGGAACAGCAACTTGACTGCTACCGTCCAGACGGCCACTGCGCATCTGATGAACGCCGTAACTGAAGCTCGCGATCCGAAAGGGAGAGCCCGCTGCTTGAACACAGCGGGCTTCTGGCTCCTTGGGTCGTAGATCACGAAGTAGGCATCTCGAGCAAATGCGGTGTCACTGAGAGGCAGTTGTTTATACGCAGCCTTAAGGTCCCACGTTTTGGCATTCATCGCAGACCGGACACGATGGGCCTTGGCGCGGGCTAGCCAAGACGAAATCATGCCCGCCACCACGTCAAGAGTGTGGACCGTGACTTGCTCCGATTGCGTCACGGCAGCATTAACTCTAGAGGCCCTATAATTATCGACTGGCCGCACCTTGGGCGCGCCATCAACCTCTCCCTGAACCACACCAAAACGGCGGGTAAGCGTGGCTCCCTCAGGAAGCGTGCTGGGGTCTATGGGTCCCTCGACTACACCGGCGTCTACTTCCTTAAGGGTCGCTTGCAGCACACCTTCGTCGATGACAGGATCATCCGCTGGCCCAACAGTCGCCAGAGTGGCTTCCCTTGCACGATCAGCACCTTGTCGCAAGTCTGCTTCGAGCATGCTGGCTGGTCTGAATTTCTTCTTGAAGAATCCACTTTCAGGCAACTTACCAACTAGGTCGAACCCTTGCACTAAGTCGTTGAAGAGGCCTTGGTCAGCGTGCTCGGCATCCTCAAGAAGGGTCCTGAACAGGATCAGGCGTTTTTGTGCAAGGATGTGACGCCGGTTATCGGACATTCCCTTTCGCAGCGCATCCTCTTCACCAACGAGGGAGTTCGCCCGTGCAATCCACTTTCTGATCAGCTCGGTCCGATGCTGCCCCAATGCGTGCTCGCCCAACTCAAAGTTTTTACGAACAGCGGTTTCAAGGTCTGCTGGGAGCAGGTTCGAAAGGCTGCTGGGGTGTTCAACATTGCACGCCTGCTCGACGAACTCCTCGGGCGACCACCTGACACCAAACTCAGCTGTAAACTTCACGGGCTGTGAGGCTGCATTGGTAGTGGCACAAGCAGATGTGACGAAGCCGAGCTCGTCCATGATCGCCCGGTCACATTGCTCGAGCTCGTCCAAACCTCCCGGGAGGAATGCAACTAGTACAGCACGATCTCCTTCCCAGCGCTCAGTCGCATGAGGCACACGTGGGTTGAAGCAAATTCCCCCGCCGTCAAAGGAAAGCACCGTGCCCATCACTCGTGTGCCGTCTATGGTCCTCGGCGAGCTGCCTGCTTTGTCAGCAAGCCACAGGCCACCTCGTTTGAACGACGTAATAGGCAGCACAAGGTTGTTAGAGCTAGGGTCGTTATGAGCATCCACATGTGGCTCAGCCAAAAGGTTCACCGTGAATGCTATCGCTCCAAACCTGTGCCACGGAGCTTGCTCGCGTACATACCGGCATGCCAAGGCGGTGGTCCAAGGGCAGCGCAGAGTTGAGTTTCGGACACCGACCATTGGACCATGGCTGTAGCCTCCGGAGAACCACTGGTGCGAGTCCTCCGTTTGGATACCTCGGGCCCTGGCTGGAAGGACTTCGGGTGTCTGTGACAGGACTTCGAACATGTCATCGGCCGTGAGCTCACCAGGCTGGCGGCGCGACATAATTTCGTAAGCTAGATGTTCACATTTCTGCGCATCGGCAGGCGGTGGTTGCGCCAACACTCCCGAACTCGCTAAACCTACCTGAGGCTTAGGACAAAAGGGAGCAGGCGGCAAAGGAACCCAAGCGGGACTAACCTCAGGATGACTATGTACCCCTTCGGCATCTGGCTGCACCCCTTGTGTGGAGATGCTAAGGACCTTGCTTCCAGCAGGAATGGAGAGCAGGTCCACCGACAGAGTGGACCCGGCAGGGGGAGTCCAATCCTCCGTTAGGACTTTCCGGCGCTCAAGGCCACTGACACAAGCGGGATCGCAACACCCTGAAACCATGACCCGGTTTTTGAACTCTGAGACCAATGGCAAGACGCGTTTGCTGGCCTGAACTCCGGAATACACGCGGGCTCCGGTCACTAGGTTATCAAGCTCGTGCAAGGACTGCGGCGCGTCGGCACAACCCAGATCAAGCAATTGTTTTCGCAGCAAAGTGGACATCTCTCGTGCGAGAGCCCAAGGATAACTAAGCTCGGCAGAGGACTTAGCGAAATCCCAAGAAGCGTGCGAATGCTTGCCGTCGCAAGTGCGTTGAAGGCAAAGGAAGGCAGGCAGTGTGTGCACCAACAGGGTCGCCTTCTTTCGGGAGTGGCCAAACATGCACTGGTGCAAGGTTGTGGCGAAAATTGGTACGTCTGTGAATAAATCTCGCCACCACTTGGTGGCCCACAAAAATGACTGAAGAGGTCCTTCAACTGAAAATAAAATCCCTCGCATGTACATTATCTTGCAGGCACGAGCACAAAATTCGAACAAGCGGTTGGCCTGGTTGACCCGAACTTTGTCTGCACCTCTCAAGGAAGGAAGCCCATGCGGATGCAAGTCATCACGAAGCCCGGCACCGCGAGTGGCAGTACCAGCCGGCGGTGACATGTGCACATAGACCAGGTTAGGCTCATTAAGAAGCGAAAGGAAGTGTTTTTGGCCCTCAGCAGTGCTAAGGTCCAGTGATACAATAGGACACACAGCTCCCTCGACCCGCGCATCCACAGCAAAAGAATCTTTATCACTCACAGGACCGGCAGAAAATTTCAATCAAATGGAATATCTTCAATAAAAGAATCTTCAATCAAATATCTTCCACGCAGATCGCTCTCTCTTTTTCCATGTGGGGATGACGAAGTCTCCGTCCTTGTGAGTCATTCCAAGATCTTTGTCCCGACAGATCGGGTCACTGAAAGCGGAGAGAACTTTCCCCCCCCGCTCAGAGGTTCAGCCTTAGAGGTTACAGCCTGACAGGGTGACGAAGCTTCGGCTGTGCGCTCTCTGAGAAGTGGACTAATTGCCAGGAGAGGTTTCTGGTTCCTCCTCTTCGTACTCGCTGCTGTCAGTGAAGCCTGTTGGTTGAAACCAACGCCTGAACAGCGCTCGGAAGACCTTGGCAGTCGCGCTGAGGCGACGTTGTCTTCTGGTCCTCAGGTACAAGCTGACGGTGCACCAGATCTCTGGAATTTGTAAGACTCGCATGACTGAAGAAAAAGGTGCGGGTGGGCGGGCTTTCGAAATTTTCTGCCCGGCTCCGACTTGAGCAACGTTCACATGCAGGCACATCACACATGCTCAATGCAGCAAAACGTTTCTGCCTAAACAAACACGTTCCTTGTTTGTTTTCCATGATCGTGATAAAACACTAACTCGTCCCTCGCACGTAAGCTTATCACTCACAGGACCGGCAGAAAATTTCAATCAAATGGAATATCTTCAATAAAAGAATCTTCAATCAAATATCTTCCACGCAGATCGCTCTCTCTTTTTCCATGTGGGGATGACGAAGTCTCCGTCCTTGTGAGTCATTCCAAGATCTTTGTCCCGACAGATCGGGTCACTGAAAGCGGAGAGAACTTTCCCCATCTTTTATAAGATCGACGCTTACCGTGGACCGTACTGCGTCGGGAAAGTCTGGGAGAGCCTCGATCCTAACTCTCGAGGGTTCATCCGCGATGTTCGATTTTGACGGGACTCTCGCGATCCAGGGTACAGTCCCCGTCTTGAGCTCATATGCGGCTTGATGCTTCAGCAAGTCGTTTGCGACTCTGTTAGCGCTTGCTCCAGTCATAAGGCAGGCTTTGGCGCCTTCATTATCACAGTAGCATACGACTCTCATTCCTCTGAGGGCCTCGCCCCAAGCCTTGAACGCCAAGCAGACTGCAGCCAACTCGAGCAAGAAGATGCACTTAGACTCTAGGTCTATTCCCACCTCAGCAAGCTCAGCTGAGCTAGGGAAGTACGAGAAGAACCTCAGGGGCTCTCCAGTGGGTCCGCACAGGACTCCGCCTATTCCCGCGACGTTTCCTTCCTTAGTCGGTTCCAGGGACGCGTCAGTGTATATAAAGACGCAGGGCCTCTGACCCAGGAGAATCGTCCTCGCTGGGGCGAACTGAGCGATGTCAATGTACATCCGAAGTGCTGCGGAGATGCTTCCGTCAATTGCGGTAGAGTTCCGTTCCAAAACGGAGTAGAATACTTTAAGACAGGACTTCGGGAGTCGACCGAAGATTTGCCCTCCGGCGAAACTCATTCGCCCCGCCATGTGCCTGGCCTCGGATCTCGATATTCTTCCCCTGTCGAGAATGTTTGAGAGCTCGCTCACGAGCTCACTGATTCTTGCCTCAGTGTTGCTGATGAGTAGCGATCCCTTGGTGAGATGTCTCAGGTTGACGCTGACTCCTAGAGCGTGTAGTGTCCTACCGAAGACCGTGTTTTTCTCGCCAGAGGTGTCATACACCCATCCAAGGATATCGAAGAGGGACCTTGCAGCCAGGTCCGAGCTCTTCTCCAGGGCGGGCTCCGAAAACAGGCAAAAGTCGTCAAAGAAAACCGTCCACATGAGACTGAGGGCCACGACTCCTAGGGTCCACAGTGCCCTGCTCATCCTGTTGAAGGCGTATACACTCTGAGTGGCCCCGAAGGGCAGGGCCAGCGATGTAAAGACCTTGGGGCAGCCAGACGGGTCCTTGATGACTAGTCCCGCCCTGTCTCTGGAGCTCGCCGACACTGCCATCTGCTTGAAGGCCCACTTAAGATCGAAGCTCTTAGCGGTCAAGTCGCGAGGCCTCTGCGCGGCGTCTCTGGCGTCGCACCACTCAACCACAGCGGAAGCCATGACATCTACGGAATGAAGAGATATCCTTTCCTCCGCGAAGGTGGTAGCGTTTATCAAACTAGCCGACATATCGTCGACGCACCGTACCTTGTCCCTCTGCTTAACCCCAAAGCGATTAGACACGACCGAGGGCGCATCGGCATCATCAGGCTCCATGGGTCCCTTGAGCCATCCCCTCGAAACTTCCGTTATGGTCTTCTCCCACACTTCCTTGGATAGGCCCTCCGCGGCTCCAAGAGCCCTTGAGAGCGCTGCATCCTTGAGGACCGGAGCAAGAGCTTCGAGCTCGCTCTCATGGATCGTGGCCGGGGTGTACCTCTTGGGCAGGTCGTTCGACATCGGAATTTCGCCCGTAAGGTCAACACCTTCTTCCAAGAGTTTGTGTGCTTCAGCATCGTTCAGCTCGTATGCGTTCACCATCTCCTTGAAGAGCAGGATCTTCTTGTCCTTTACTACCGACCTTACTCCCTCGTCCATCGAGTCCTTCAAGGCCTTTTCCTCTTCGTAGAGCTCCGAAGCAACCGACATCCATTTGCGGAAGAAGGACGCTCGCCTTTCAGCGACCGCCGATGGATCGTCAGCCGCAAGTTCCCAAATGGATCTTTTCAGTGGTTCAGGCACTGTCGAGATCGCGTCGGCTGGGTGTCCTCTTCCCGCCGCTTCCTTCAGGAACTCGCCGGGGCTCCAAGGCACTCCAAATGTGCAGATTGTGTCCGCTTCTGCTGGAATCGTGGAGTTCTCCCCTTCTGTTCTGGGAGAGATTTCCAGCAGACGGGAGCCTTCGGGAATGGTGACCTGCGGGGTGATCAAAGGGTGCTCGATGAAATCCTTGATGCGCCACGTACAGGAAGATCTCGGAATGAATGCCTTGAGAATCACCCGGTATTCTGGAACGAAGTTGGGTAGATTGGACTTCGTGGTACCCTCGGATGCCATTGCTCTTGAGACTTTCTCTGCCGCAAGCGGCAGTTGCGATGCCCGCAACATGTCTAGAGGTTCCATGACAAAATTGTCTGCCTCGCAGGCATCCTTGACAGCATGAGCCACTTGCTTGCACAGTTTGGCCGGGTACGCCGACTCCAAAGAAGTGGAGAAGGTCTGGTCCTCATGGGACCATCCCCATGATTTGTGAGCGTGGCTGTTGTCACATTCAGCATGGAGTCTGTCCAGAGGCACTTTGCCGAAAAAGGCCAGAGCGGTGTTCTTCTTGCGATCGCTTCCATACATGCACGAATGAAATTGCACATATCTCGGATTGCACCGAGATTGCGCCTCGGTCCAGAAAGAGGTTCGCCAGAACAAGGAGGAGAAGGGGTTCTCCACCGTCCAGGGGAGTTGCTTGTCCGTGCATCTAATGCACACTTGAGTCACAAGTTTGTACAGCTCGTTTGCTTTCTTCACACGTTCTGCTTCGTGATCAAGTAGATGCGGCAGTCCGTCTGGGAAATCATCCGAACGGAGAGGTCTTGGTCCGTAGCGAGAGGTGCTCATGGCGATCTCCCTGGCCCGCGAACACGTTCCACAAGGTGGCGCCATCCACACAAAAACTAGCTGATCTGAACTTAAAATCTGGAAAACAAGGTGTTGAGAGGCCTCAAGTGAAAGGTCCAACCTTATCACCGGCCCCTTTCTAGAGGGAGAAAGAAAACTATCGATGCCAAAACTTGCTGACAGGCCGACACTCTTCATGGCGGCCGTGATGCCCGCGGTGCCCGCGAAAAGCTCGAGGGCGAAGCATGACTGGAAAACTTTCCCTCCTAAATTCAAGGAGGGATAGAGGCCCTCTGTCTGTGATGGTCAGTTCGTCTGCCGCTGCGGGCACTGGTTGTACGAGTGAGAGCCCAGGCACTTGGAGCAAATGTGCAAGCCTCGGTCGCATTCGGACTCGTTGTTCTTCCCCGCGGGGCATCCCCCGGGTAAGTTGTGCCCAAAGCAGATGGGCCTCCCAGACGTGGGGCACTTGTAGTGAAGGCCAAGCAAAAGCTTGGGCATGCGAGGAGCCTCATAGTTATCCTGCTGGTGCTTGCCCTTGCCCTTCCCTTTGCTTTTGCCCTTGGAGTTCCGGTCCTTGCCTCCCTTGCGACTAAACCACGTGTCTTGATGCGGCATGTCATACGGAGACGGCCTGTTGCCCTTCCAACCTTTGCCATTCTTGCCCTTGCCGGCCCGGTCGCCCTTCTGGTCACCTCCCTTTGGGCTGAACTGCTGCAAGGGCAGGAGTGCGAACACGACCGAGTGTACCGTGGGCAACCTGGCGAACTCGGCGTCGATAGGTCTAGTGCCGTCTGACGGTCTGATATCCTTTACCACGTCAGCCATGTGAAGCCAGGCTGCCTTGTCTGCTCGCAGGATCTGGAACATCTGAACTTTTTGGAACCGGGCCGGTTGCTCTTTGGATAGTTCTCCGAACAGCCAATCCACCCATTTCTGGTGGACGGTGAATGTGACGAGATCCGCGAACTCATATGCCAAGCCGCGCCTGCGTAGTGCCTGGTAGACCAGGAACTCGGTATTGTTCTCGATGAACAGTCCTTTGTCGTTCTCCTTGACCTTGACCTGTGAGCCCTCAATTTCCAAGAGCTTGGCCGATGACTTATTGCTCATCATTTCCTGTTCTCTGGATGCACACCTGGAGGGCGGCATGTACTTGAGTATTTTGGACTCAGCTTGATGCGAGGCCGAATCCAGCATGGCGTGCCCTGGCTCCAGACCTTTGGAAATTTCGAGACCTGGGTACTTTGCACGAAGGCTGTCGAGCCTCGCGCTGCGTTCCGCTCTCGGGACCGGCTTTGCTGTGTCGGCCGTCGCTTCAACCCTGTTCTTGAGGCTGGCGCTGATAAACACGTGGGCCTCAAACAGAAGGTTCCTGGCTGCTGACAATGTTCTCAGCGATTGCCCTACCCCGGCGATGCCTTCGAAAAAGGTGTTGAATAGGGTCTCGTCGATCGGCTGCCCCGGCTGACCGTGGGCAAAACCATAGCGATTGAGTGTCGCCAAACCGTGCCTCTTGAACGCCTGTGCCGCCGCATCCGGTATGCCAAGCTCAGCAGCGCGCTGCAGGAACTGAGCTTCGCTGTCCAGGAGTGAGGGCATGATTTGAGGCTTTAGCCAATCTCTTGATTCTTAAAAGGGGGGCTGCGGCATCACCGCAGCTGAGATTCGACTCGATAACTCACTCTCAACTACTGGAGGTGCATTTTATTCACCGCTTGAGCTTCTTGTTGATCGCTTCAATAAGGTCCGCCCTTGTGCGAATTGGAAAAGCACTCGGATCACATTGCGAGCAGGTCTCGGCTCCCTGCCCTAGTGACCTGACAGGCATCATGCTGCCGTGCCACTTCCTGCCGCACTTAAAAGTCTGGCTTGACTCGTTTGCCAGTATGTGGACCTTCCCTTTAGGATTCAGGAAAAACAAGTTGCCAGCCCCCGGCGGAGGCATGACTGCTGATTCTTGGGAAGATTGTGATTCCGACTCTGAGGAAGAGCTGTCCGAGGAATCCGACGTGCTGCCTGCACCGGATTCTTTTGGAACCTCAGCACCGCTGTTGGCTTCCTCCTCCGACACCGGGGCTGGTGCTGCCGACGGCAATGATGCTGTTTCCTGGTCTCGATCAGGAGAGGCAGGACTCCTTTCTTCTTCGTTCGAGACTACCTTCCAGGCAGACGTCGTTTCTGATGGTTCCCCACGGGAGTTAATGCCCGTCTCGATGGGCCGGCTGTCCTGGCGGGACCTGAAGAGACCGCTTCTTGTCTCATCGGGCAGGAATGTACCCGCCCGTATGGCGTTTAGAGCCATCGCGAGCTTTCGCAGAGGCCGGGATTGCATCCCCCTGGCATACACGTCGCTCGACGTAATGCTCCCCACGTGCCGACCTAGGAATTCCAAGGTGGGTTTGTCGGCCCCGAAGCGGGCCATCCATGCCAGCACCGTCTCCTTACAACTGTGAGACGTGAGATCTTCTACGTTATCCAGCTGCCTTAGTAGGTAGCGCAGCAACGACGTGAATTCGTCACTCTCGAGGCTGCGCTCAGAGAAGGAGTCGTCAGAAAGAGGAGCGGGTAGGAATGGCCCGGGCGCAAATTCGCCGAGGACTTGCTTCCGTAAGGTTAGGAACTGCTCGGCCCAGTTCTCGTCTGTGACTCCAAAGGCTGGAGCTACGATGGGCAGGAGCCTTCTCTTTTCTCTGTTGGCTGTCTTGTGATGTTCCGTCCGGACTTCGATAAAGCCGTGCCTCCCTGTAATGTCCAGACATATCTCCTCAATGTGTCTGAGGTCGGAGCATCTGCAGCGTCCATACACGCACATGAGCATGAGTCCTGCAGCTAGCCGGTCAAAAACTCCTTCAGATGTGTTCCTGAGGATGGCGTGCAAGCGCAGTACCATGGCGACGGTAAGCGCCGGCGCCTGCTTCAATGGTCTCTTCTTGCTCGAGGCTTGCTTAGCCACTCCCTGAATCAGGAAGCTGGAAATGATGGCCGTTGCTCCCTCGGGTTCAATCGTGTAGATCATGAAGTTTACCGCCTGCAGAAATGAGGCCGGAGCGGTTGGAGCACCAAGTGCCTTGAGGTGGTGGACATAATCGAACGACACTGCTTCCTTCATCGGCCATGCTAACCTGTCGTTCTGCGTGCACCAATAAAGGTACCTTTTCACAACCATCCCTCTAGAGTTGATGGTGGATGGGGCTTTGACCCCCATCACTGCATCGACACACGTGAAAAGCTCGGTGGCGACTTGGCCGCCGTTGTCTTCGTCCGATAGCTGGACGTGCCTGGTGATGCCGAAGTGTTGTGGAGCGACCCCTATGACGTCGCACCACAGAGAGATTCCCTTCAGTCTTGAAGCTTGTTCACTCTTGGGGAAATTCACGTTGGGGCGGTTCTTGACTGCCGACAAAGCGGATGACGCCCCCGCTCTGGGTGGCATAAGTATCTTGCCAATGGCTTCGCCCGGGTCTCGGTCCGGCTCGGAAGGCGGGGCTGTGGTTTGTAACTGAGCTTGCGGCACCACGACCGGGGGCTCAGTGGTTCCAAAAATGTCCCGCATCAAGGGGGTCTCCCAAGGCATGACTATTCTTGGCCGTTTAGCAGCCCTCAACAAGCAGCCTTGCAGGGCCTGCTCGTACTCGCGCCCTTGAAGCACGCCGCTCGGCGAACTTTGCTGGTTTTGGGGCCGGGCACTGGCCGATGCAGAGAAAAGCTCTGACTCAGCTGGCGTGAGCGCTAATGTTGCTTCGGGCCGTTCCTGCTCTGGCCACTGATCCAACTCACCTGGATCTTCCAACTCTGCTAGCCGCTCCAAATCGAGCAGCCTGTCGATTTCACTCTCTTCCGCCATGCTGCTGGGTGAGACTGACACGACACACCTGTCAGTTTCCCTAAATGCCGTAGGCTCGCTTCTTTGTGAGGCTACTCCACCTCGTGATCTAGCAAGGGCTCCTCGGCCCGTCCTGGCAATACATTCTCTTTCAGCGTGGCTCAAAACTGTGACACGGCTTGCTCGAGCAGAACGCAGGGACAAACGAGGAAATTGCACGGACAAAGGCAACACGGCAAGAGGCTCAGCAGAAAACAACTGCGACATGCGACGGCGAGTTTTGCGGATCTCCCCGCTGCGTTTTCCTCTGCTCGGAGGACTTCTAGCGAAGCTTGCTTCTTCGCGAAACGTCACAGCTCTGACTCCCAGAGCGATTTACCGCGGCACACTCAGGGCCAGTTTCGCCCTTCTGTGGGCAGTTTCTCTGGGATGCTCCCTCACTGTCTTTCCTGACACTCGATGCTTGGAACCCTTACATGACTCAAGTACGGCTTGACGTTGCTGAGGCGCGGGCGGTCTTCCTTGGGAATGCATCAAGTTTCCTAGCATCCGATGATCCGAAGGAGTATGCTCGCTTCAGTGGGTGCAATCTCCAAGCCAAGCGGCAGCTTCGGCTTCTTTTCTCGGCGGTGGTTGCGCAGTTCGTCATCATCCCGGGAGCCCCGACAACAAAATCTCCCGAGGTCGTTCGAGTCCCTCGGACTGAACTAGATGAAAAGATTTGGAGGCAACTACCGCGGCCACATGAACGCCACGGCCTTTATGGTCGCGCCCTCCGACCTGATGCACAGACTTTGGTCCGATGAGGATCGCGCCGCCCAGTCTCTTCTGCAAGCTGCATGAAGCTTGCCCACGCCTCCTTCCAAGAGTTGGACCGCGTGTGCCCTTGCGGACACCAAAATTGCGATGCCACTTCCCGAGGCCTTTGCTTTCCTCGCAACCCCTTCCAGGGCCTTCATTGCCGTGTGCGAGGAGTACTGCTCGCAGCTGCCACGGGCGAAGAACCCGTATGGCGGGTACTGGTCGGTCTGAGCTGCTTGAGGGCGGATGATCTTTTGGCTCAAAATGCCGTGAGCCGAGGACCACTTCGTGCCGTGAGCGGCCGTCAGACTCTGCGAGTGGACGGGGTCCGGGATCTGGAGCTGCTCCGGCGCGGCGATGTCGGGTTTAAGCTCCAGTTCGAGGATCGAGGCGGAGAAATGCGATCCTGAATGCTGCGCCCATTTCAACTCTTGCGGCAGCGTCCCGTCGGGGAGGGAGGCCAGGAACCGGGACACATAGTTGATCATTGCCTCCGGGAGGCGGGAGTGCTCCTTGATCCGCGCGGCCATGCGCTCGATGTCATCAGCTTCCACATTCTCCATGACTTCTTTGTAGGGGGGGCCGCGCTGATCCGCCGGGAGTTCACTGTAGGACAAAGTCCGAGTGCGGTCGGACCACGCCTCCTCCATTGCACTCTTCATGAGTGCTTCCTGCATGGAAGCTTCCTCCCTATCTTCGGCTTCTTCTTCCTGTTCGGGGAGCTTCCACTGGTAACCCTTCTCATGCGCCGTCCAAGTGTTCCAGGGCTTGCCGGAGCCTCTGGGCTGCCAAGACTTGGCTTGCCATTGTTTGTTCGAGTGCCAGCCTGGCTGCTTCCACCCGGAGCTCTGTCCGCCCCATTTGCCACTTCCAAAGGAATGGTCCTTCGTAAAGGACGGTGTGTGGTAAGACTCCCCCTTGTGGCTCGAGGGAGCGGCTTCCGCACGCTCCTTGCGCTTGTGGCGGCGGCGTTCCGGCGAAGACGAGGACGAGGAGGATTCAGAGCTGTACGAGCTCTTCTTTGCCTTGGGTGCGCGCTTCTTCGACGCCTTCTTCTTGGTGCGTCGGTCTCTTTTGGACTCTTTGCTCTTCTTGTGCTTGCGGTTCTTCTTAGCTTTTCGCCTCATGGGCATGAGCCCGTAGATCGTCGGAATCATCTCCTCACTGTCAGAGGAGTCGGAGTCGTCTCTGCGACCTCTGCCCATGCGAGTGGGGAGGTAGGGCGATGCGCCGAAGCTGAATGGCGTCACCATTGTGAGACGGAGGGTGAAACGAAGGTGAAAACTGAAAGCTCTTGAGCCGGCTCGAGTAGCATAAACATCATAGGCTTCTGCGAGGGTGCGTCTTGCTCACGCAGGAAACTCTCCCAGCCCTGCACGTCACTGCATTGGCCTCGAACACGAGTTGCCCGTGTTAGCGATCCCTCGCGGGCCAGAGTTGCTCAAGGAATGTGTCTGAAAACGACAGGAAGTGACTTCTGGGGACCGTGCCTGTTGCCTTCTCGAGAGGGGCAGTCGAGAGCGAAATGACATTTACAGCGAAGGCCGGCGCGAACCAGCATCTTCGCAGCTGCTCTCCCCGGACTGCGTTTGGGAGGCGCTTCCGGCTGGTCTCCTTCTTCTGTCGGTTCCCAAGAGGCATGGAAGACCCACCTGCCCAAGTTGGCGGGAAGCCCTTCGTGGGCTGAACCCTCCTGCTCCTGAGGGTCTCGGGCGGTGTAGCTGGAGGAGGGCAACTGCTCTGCCCGATTGTCGGCATCTTCCGGGACTGATGCCGACTTCCTCTCTTTCTTCTTTCGCTTCTTGGTCTCTTCTTTGTCACATCGCCTGCGCTCCTGTGTCGTGGAGTGTCTCTTCTTCACCTTCTTCCGCTTCTTATGCTTCTTGCGCTTGCTCTTCGGAGAATCTGCTGGTTTACTGACCGGCGCGAACGCCGAACTCCAGGACGACATGTCTTCATCCCGCTCAAAAACCTCTTCACTGTTTGCCGACATGGTGTCTGAGCTGCATACGGCTACATTTGCAGTCTACGGGTTGTTCCTGGAGCTGTCCCTGACAAACACATCTCCGCTGGGATGCCTGACAGAACTGCACAATACTCTGGAGCACTAGAAACGCACACTTTTGCTTATTCAAACTCGCGTCATCAGGGAGACCGCAGGTGTTCTCTCAGTGACCGACCCACTGCCTGTCGATTGCCTTGATGATGCAGACATACCCTGATGGTGAGTCAGGGCAGTGCGCGGCTCCAGCAGCATCTGATGAACCAGGGCAAGTAACCCTGGGCGTTGAGTGGGGTGCCAGGTTCGACTGCTTCTGCGCGATGTTCAAGAATGAGTATCCTCCTTTCGCACGCTCTAACATGCGCCTGGATGGTGGAAATTCGGCGCTCGAGCTCAGTAACATGTCTGCTGACGAGACTGAGCGTACTTGGGCTATCGCCGCTGTAATCCGAGCTGTCGATTTCCATGCGACACCGGGGACCTCGGATTCGCCTTGTGCGGCTTGATGTCAGATGGGCCACTGCGGTCACTTGGAACTCTCTGCGACGGAAGCAAGACCGCAGAGCACATACTGCAGACTCCTGCTTTTAGGCATTTCGCACGAAGATCACAGGTGATAGCGTATTCGCTACAAGCACTGGCGCTGAAAAACTAAGGTGCCTGCCGTCCTGAACCAGGTGAAAAGAACTCAACTTCGGAAAACGACCAAACAGCTCGAAGAGTCTTTGAGCAACAAGCCACTTCGCTTGATCCACAATGTCCTTGCAACTAAGCTGGATGTCGAGCGTGACGGCCGTGTTATGAGAAATACGATCATTCGCTTGTACCTGCATTCGGAAAATGTATCCGTGAGGTGTGTCCCAGGGCAGGTCTGCCTCACCTGCCTTTCTTTTCATCTGAGCACTGACATGATGCTCATACGTGTCTCCGCTTGTTGCACATGGCTTGAGGCGAGCACGGATTCCCGGGAAAGAGCTATGCCTTTTCTAACCTGTAATACTGCGCCTGCAGTGTCGGTGCGAACACTGCGTGCATTCTCTCTCTGAGGCATGAGCAGTAGGGTGGAGCTGATCGTTGGCCCCAACACCCGGTCAAGAGCGACTATGCAACGAAGCTTGCAAGGAAAAACCCTGTCTGAGACTGTCACTTGCTTGTGGATATCCGAAGCAGAATCTCTTTGATCTGATGCCATTGCAATCACGCGCTTACACTCTTCAACGACACAAATATTGTTGTCTCGCACGCTGAGGAGACAACCGCAAACCTTCCTTCTTTGAGGACCCTTCCCGGTCCACTTGTGGGACTCTCCCCTCTCGAAAATTTCCTTTCGAAATTTTCTGCCCGGCTCCGACTTGAGCAACGTTCACATGCAGGCACATCACACATGCTCAATGCAGCAAAACGTTTCTGCCTAAACAAACACGTTCCTTGTTTGTTTTCCATGATCGTGATAAAACACTAACTCGTCCCTCGCACGTAAGCTTCATTCCACATGCACGAAGAGCCGCAGTGAACCTCCCGGCCCCTGAGCAAACCTGAATGCAAAATGCTTCAGCGATGCTGAGTTTGGCCACACGTTCAGTGGCACGTCCAAGGAAGGACACTCGCTCCTTCCCAGTCCGAAGCTCAGGGGCCCCAGGCCCTCAAGCGCCGCTTTTCTTGTGATGCTCCTGAAGAGAGTGAGGCTGCAAGCATCCCGGCTCTGCGCATAAGTGCAGCCCGCGCGAGCATGCACTCCCCGGGGCGGCGTCTCCACAGCCGCACTGCATATTAAATGCCCAGCACAAGCGTTCACCATCTTTGTTCTGGCTCCACTTTCCAATCAACTCCTTCGGCACACGCAGCCTAGCACCACCTTTCTTACCTTTCCCTGTGCCTTTGCCCTTCTTACCTGGCTTATTCCCTTTGTCATCGGCCTGCTGATCCTCGACCTTCCTTTTGAGCGGAGGCGGCGGGTGCTTAGGTTTTTCGGGAATGGCAAGCGGCAGAAGATGAAAGCTGACATGTGTGTCATCGAGAATGTTCTCGAAGGCACGGTCCAATGGACGGACCCCATCCGCGCCTGTCTTCAGGCTACGCACCTTCTCAGCGATCCTCGTGAAAGCCGCTCTGTCTGCGCGGAGTGCCTGAACCACACTAACCTTTGCGTAGTTAGGCGGCGGCGCGTCCTGGACTCGCTGGATGAGCAGGCTATGATACATGTTCATAGCATCGTAAGAGCAGCAGCCTACGAGGTCGAATGCGAGCGCCCTTCGGCGGAGCGCTTGAACCAGCTCCAGCTCTCCGTGGGTATCACATGTGGCCTGCTGCGGCTTGTCTCGCACTGTCAAGGAGCCACTCCCATCCAACGAAACCTCCTTCACCGCCTTCTTAAGCTGAAGTTCATGCTGACGCGTGGTGAATTTGTTTGGATGCTGGTACACAAGCGTGTCTTGTTGCAACATGCCGTACACCAAATTGTACGCCTCGAATGCGACCTCTTCCACTCCACGGTGCGTTAACCCTGTGAGCCGGGCCCGCTGCCTTGTGATGCGAGCTTCGCGCTCAGCAGGATTCAGTCGCTGGGATGTTGGATCATCCCCTTTTTCAACTTTCTGCTTAAGATCTGCAACAACCATCGTGTGAGCCTCAAAGATCAGTCGCTTTGTGGCAGCGACGACACCAGCGTTGATTACTCGAGTACCAAAAAGCTCGCGGACCTGATCATTGGAAGGCGTAGCCCCTGGCGGCACTGCCGCAAAAGCTAGACGGGCTAGACTGTGGATGCCGGATCCAGTGAGGGCCGCGATGTCGTCGGCAGACAATCCGACCTCGGCCGCACGATCCTCGAAGGCCGCTCGGCTCTCGGTAAGAGAGGTCATGGCACTGGCACGGCTCAAAACAGCTAAACTCGGTACTGGCACAGCGCTATCGAAAAGATGATATTCCGAAACACAGGCTCGTACGAAGGCACGCAGTTTAGGAAGCAGTGTTTCCCAACTGAACGCATATTCATCATTCCATCCTGTATTCCAGTCAAGACCTAGAAGCCATAGCAATCTTGCATGTGATGTATAAACCCTTCGGCACCGGCACATCTCGGCGCAGCCGCAGTGCACGTTCACTCGGCCCTCTTGAGCACAGGAACATGTAGGCGCGCTCAAGTTGGTGGTAAGTCTTGCGGCCGGCACGTCTCGGCCACGTAGTCCCATCGGTCACTTACTCGATGGAGGCTGTGAACATGCAACATCGACTCTCCACAAACAGACATTCACTTTGCAAACCACAAGTCGTCTGCCCTGTATTTTCTCAGGCGATGCCTTTCAAGTGCACCTTCACAAACTCTCTGCAGCCGACTTTCGCTGCATCATAGCGTTAACGGCCTCGGCCAATGCTCCTGGATCGCGGAGCGGCTTTGCCCCTTCACAGGTCTTGCACTTCCGAAACGACAAAAATTTAGTTTGGGCGACCTCCTTGAAATCGGACGTCACCTTCCGCCCACACGCAAAAACTCCGGTCGAACTGCCTTGTGCGCAAAGATGAACGACCTGTGTCCTAACATGTTTGTACATGACATATCCAGGTTCCCAACTTGGCTTGGGACGGGCGACTGCACACGCCATCTCGTCGTTGTCCAAGTCGGGGTGGTCCCTGCCTGCAACGACTTCGTCCTGCGAGCTACTGCTGTCCGAAGAGGACAGCTCATGGTCAGTGGGTGCTGCAACCTGATCTTCATCACTCTTCTCTCCGGCGGATGCTACACCAATGGCCTCAAAAGAACCTTCTGAAGCGAAGCTGGTCAACCCGGGATCAGGCACTTCATCATCAGAGACCTCCACCTTCGGAACCTGTGCAGTGCCTCGCACGCGACCCGAGCGCGTAAGGTCCGGGAAGAATGTTCCGTTTCTGATTGCAGCCAACATTTCATCATAGCGCCTGAGGGCAGGCGCCAAGTAATCTCGGCCATAGGTGTGCAATGTTCCTTCGCCAGTGGCATGGTGTCCAAGTTGTAACCGGGAATACTTATCGAAACCAAACTTACAGGCCCAGGTCAGTGTAGTGCTTTTCAAGCTGTGACCTGTGATCCCTTGGGATGGCTGCCCTCCCTTATCAAGAATCTTGCAGAGCCAAGCCCCAGCTTCGGAGGTGGTCACCGACCTGGACAACCATCCTCCGGTAACGTCCGGAGCGGGCAGCAAAGGCCCCTCAGGCCGACCTACGAACCCCAAACCTACTGCAGAAGCAACCTTGCTGAATGTAACAGCCCAGCTCACCTTACCTAAGCCGACAGCCGGTGCAACAAGGGGCATGGCAAGACCAATGGCCGCGACGTCCTTCTCAGTCTTGTGACTGCGAGTGCTGCACTCAAGGAAACCTTGCCCGTGGCTTTGCAAACAATCAAAATCCAAAATCCAATCCTTGACCTTTCTGAGATCACTAATGCGACTACGGCTGAACAAACCGAAGAGCATGCATCCTGCAGCGTAACGGTCGACTAAATCTTCATCCTCGTCGCTCAAGAAAGCCTCAAGGTAAAGAACGCTGTCAGTGGTTAGGACAGCGCTCTGCCTCCTCTCTGCTTTCTTCTGTATCTCCAGCGCAACAGCCCCACGAGCCCAAGGACTGAACAACTGCTTTCCTGAGAAAGGGTTCCTCAGAGATCCGTCACAATCGAAAGGCAAGCCAACGACATGCACTGAGAAATTGACAGCTTCAGTAAAGCTTGTGAAAGATCCAGGTCGGACCTTAGCTTCCTGTAGTTGCTCGATGTAATCATCGACACGCTTTGAAGTGATAGGCAGGGCACACTCGCCTGGGCAAGCTTTGTGTACCCACACAACGAACTTCTGCATTGCACTCCCACGCTTTGCGACGGTACTGGATGCTTTCTTCCCGAAGAGTTCACGAAGGCACTTCATGGCATCAGCTCCGTTTTTGCGGCTAATCCGTGATCCTATCGCAGAACAGCTGGAGTCCTCCATGATCACGAATAGCCACATTTCTAAAGCTCTGGTCCATTTGACTTCTTCAAGCGCAGCGTCAGTTTCCACAAGGTTGAAATTGACAACATCCCGAAAGCAGGCTCCCAGGGTGACGCTTGCTCTGGCCTTCTTTGCACGATGCGCACAGTCGCGCGAAGAGGATGCCTCTTCAACAGATTCCCTGACAGGAAAAGGCACCGCCTGTGGTAAAATGGCATCACTGGCTTTTGGAAGCACACTTGCACGAGAACCAAAAACCAGCTCAAGTCCCGGAAGTTCCCAAGGAAGCTTTGTGTCAATCACGCAACGCCCTAAACCTAACCCTGCGTCTTGTATGGCAACTGACATCCGCAAGGAAGCCTCATGAGAAAGCTTCTCCACACTGGCCTCCTGGACATCATCTTCCAGAAGATCAATGTCTTCCGGGAGGGCCATGCTAGTGGCCTCAGTTTCCTCCTGACAAGACTTGTCACACAGCTCCATCAGTCTAGTGCTCGAGAACGACGTCAGTCGTCTCACTCCGATACAAGCCTTCACAAGAAGCTATGCGATTCTGCAGAAGGCAGCTGCTAATGGACAGTAGCCGGCACAGACCTCAAGTCTATCCGCTCTGTAAAGCACGTCACTTAGAGCTTCAAGCACACGCTCTTCAAGGTCATGTAGCAGCTCACGAACTGCTCTCTCGCTCAGTGGCTGAGCCCCGGCACCATCCATGCACTACCCCCAGACGAAAAATTCTACAAAACTTTGGGGGTCCCACCCACCTCTCCCTTGAGCAGAAATGTTTCGTGAGAAACACTCTTAACATAGCTCACATGAGACAGTCACACACATGCCCTAATTTATTTCGAAAGCGAAATAAATTTGTTTTGCAGGGAAAATAAAAACTCATCCGTGCACGCGCGGAGATAGTTCTGACAGGCGTAAACCACCACGGGAAAACAGACACAACACGAGAGCGACGCCGGGCACACCGTACCCCGGAGGGGAGGCCTCCCTCAACTAAAAGCCACGTGTCGTGGCGTCCGGCAGAGCCCCCATCGGAGCAACAGGTCCTAACCCGAAAGCAACCCTAACCGCCCACGCCCTTCAACAAAGCGCAGGGCCAACGCTTCCCCTCAACAAGGCGCAGGGACGACGCTGCCCCTCATCTTCCTAAGAGGTGGCGCGGGGCCCACGTGCCTGCAGACGAATTAGGGCTGCATTGGGCCAGGGGGCCTGCGGAGCCTAAAGAGGTCAACCAGGCGGACATCCCTGATACCGAGCACAGTGCAGTGCAAAGCACCAGGGAGCGCTGTACAAAAGCTAACTGCCGAAGAAAACGCCAACCTCCAGAAGGAGGCCAGGGAGTGGGAGGCAACACGTCCCTAATAGCCTGGATAGCAGCAGTAGCTTCATCGCCGCGGTGTGTCGTAGGCAGGACACAGGGCGGTGACGCCATAAAGGGACTGCAGGGGGAGCACACACACACAGACCTAGGCGTATTAACAAAGAACCCTCCTAAAGGCCATCGCCTAAGGGATAGGCAGATAGACCTCGAAAGTGCCTGAGGAGGGGTTCCTCCTTGCCGTAACTCAATCCTCATTGCCAGGGCGGCCGAGGAGAAAAAACTGAAACAGAACCAAAGAAAACCGGTGTGAGACTGCGCACGTGCTGGGACCCTAAAAGGGCGGGCAGAGGGCAGCGACTGCCGCAGGCAGCGCCCGAGCCCTTAAGCAGTGCACAGAAGCAGTGTGGGCTTCGAAGCACTCGTCTGTACCGGCTCCTCCTGTCAGTTTCGCAGGGTCCGAGCAGCTGAAAGGGAGGGGCGCGGCCTCCAGGCCCTCAGGCACCACCAGCTACTGTCCAGGAAGGGGACGAAAAGGGTCTGCCACCTTAAAGAGCCCTAAACCCTGCACGGCAGAAGGACAGATGCGGCTCACGGCGCTTGGGAGTGGCAGTCACGTCCCAGAAGCGCACCTGTGAAGGAGTGATAGCCCACTTCCTTCCTGTCTTCAGGCCGGTCCTGGTGGAGGGCGAGCCCGATCCACTACGGCCACGCGAAAAGCAAGGGGTGGGAGCCACACCCAAGTCAGGGGCGCTATGGCTCAGAGAGAAGGCTAAAACTGGGATTGTGGGGGCCTCGAACCTTGTCGAAAAGCAAGTTGAGAGCCCCAGGCCCGTTAGTTAAAACACGCAACTCTCTACGGCCACAAAGTGTGGCACTAGAGCTAGCTTGAGCCGATACTTGAGCCATTCCTTTTCCTTTTGGTCTTCCTCTACCACCTTTTCCTCTTCCGTATCCATATCCTTTGCCCTTTCCTTTGTCTTTTCCTTTTCCGTAAGGGCTTCCTTTTCCTCCTTTGTCAC